GGTGTGACTCAGTCTCTTCCCCTTGCTCTCACTCATACCCTCTGCAGGATCCTTTCTCCACCTGCTCCACGCAGGAGGCTCCAGTCAAAGACTGAACCCCTTTGGACTCATGAGCAGTGGTAAAGGGGAGTGTGTAGAGGTGACATGTCCCTCTGTGCCCACTCCACCTACAGCTTCAGGGTTTCAATCCTGGCCAGGCTGCTGCTTCCAACTAAGCCTTGGCATGACAGAGGCGGGAAAGTCACTGCCTCCAGAGAACTCTTAAGTCATGTGAGCAAGCCTGGCATGCTGGCCCACAGGGCTTCGGGGGACACACAGAGAAAAGGATCCTAGAAGCCCTCCAGCTGGCCTGGCCCTGCCTTGCTCTGCCCTCTGGCTGCCCTGCATTCTCAAGGACTTCCTTGGTCCCCCAAGTGTCCTGTCTGCTGAGACAGGGAGAACCCCTTGGTGACCCAGCCCAGCCCCCCATCTGAGTCGCCCTCCTCGGGGTGTCTCGAATTCTTGGACTTGGGTTTCAGGAGGCACAATAGTAACATTCTCCTGCTCTCATGGCTGCAGGCCGGGCCTCTGGTTCCCCTCGAGATTGGGTTTCCCGTGCCCTGGACACGCCAGATCATGGGATGGGGGGCCAGGTGAGCAGAGGGGGTATAGTGCTAGGGAGGGAGGGGCCGCAGCACTGCACCCCACACCCGCACTGCTCCTCCCTGGCCTCAGAGGCCAGCAGTCTGGTAGACTCCATCCTTTCCTGATTGGGGGCAGAGGCTGTTGGCATCTCTAATGATGGCGTCTCTACTCTGAGGATATCCATGTGCCTGCTGCAGTCTGTGGGTACAGCCAAGCCAGATCGGTGCACCCATCTTAACCCCTGAAACGTTCACTGGGTGCAGCCCTTGGGGCCACTGGCCAGCAAGCTGTGTGCAGTCCTCCATGGAGTGTGGGCTCTGCATGGGAATCATGAGGGTGTGTTGGCTGCAGCGAGCCGGAATTCCTCCCTCACCTAGCAGGAGCCATAAATACAGCCCCATCTTTGGCTGGGAAACACATGTATTAGGAATACATGATCAGCTGGGGTACATGAGCAGCACCCAGCTCCTCCTGGGGCCTCAAGACGCCCTTGAGATGCACTGGGGTACATGCAGTGCATACAGCCATGCAAAGGGGGAGGGAGGGTACAGGAAGGACAGGAGAGGAGGCCAGAGGGAAAGGCTAAGAACTGGTTAAAGGAAGTACACAGCGTGCGTGGGTGTAGTGGGGGTCTGCTGAGAAAGTGGAGCCCATGGTGGGGTCAGGAGGAGGGGAACAACAGCCTTGGGTGAATTTCATGGCTACTCTAGAGGTATGAAGGGCCTGAGGGGGGCAGTGCCCCTGCCATCTTTGGCTGTTCCTGGCCCAGTGTGGTACATGAGCCATAGCGCAGATTGGTGTGGCTGTGGTATGGGAGGGATGAGAAGTGGTTGGGAACCTGAACCTCAGTCCTACCTCAGAGGCCTGTTCCTCAGAGTCCAGATTTATCACCTGTTCTTCTTAGCCTTCTCCCCAGAAGCCTGCAACGTAGCTACAATTGCAGATAGGGTGGCTACACCTCACAGACATGGACAGCGGGAGCAGCAGCGTCAGGGAACTGCACAGCTGCTTATCAGGCAGCCAGCCTGACCCCTGACCACCTTAGGATGAGCCATGGCCTCTAGGGTGCTCTCCTTACCCACACCGGGCCAGGGATGGGGACCCAGAAGTCTGCCACCCAGGCCCAGGCATCTGCCAGACATGACTGGGCTCGGTCCTGGGTTGGCTGTGCTTCGATGGCTGAGTGGAAAGGGCTTATGTGAGGAGAGAGCCCCAGACCTCACTGCTCGGTGGAGGGAGCCATTACATTGTTTTGGGGCCAGGCAGTAGGGGGGGTACCTCTGTCCCATCTCCCCTGCAGGAAGTGGCTGGAGCCCGGGCCCCTGGAAAGAGCAGTGTGGGGAATGGCCAGGGTTGGTGTGGCTGACTTCCGGGACCCTGGCTGCTCTGGCAGCAAGGCTGGAGAGAGGGCACCGCGGGGAGGCTCCTGGGGCAGCACAGACTGCCCCGGGTCTGGGCTGAGCAGTAGAGGACAAGAGATAGGAAGCCAGCACCTGCCTGCTTTGTGCCAGCCAGCTCTGCCCCTCTGTTGGCCCGCCCGCCACCAGCTGGCCCATTGTCCCGGTGAGAAAGCAGACAGGGAGGGAGGCTCCGTGCAGGCAGGGGCTCACTCATGCACACCCGCCGGGCAGGGACTGCCAAGGGACGGCCGCCCTGGCCAGGACAAGGAGAGAAGGGGGCGGCGGAGATCCGGAGCGTGGAGCCGGGCAGGCCGCCGCGCCAGGCCTCCGCCGCTGCCGTGTGCCCGGCCCGGAGCCCTGCTGCTGGCCACCGCAGGCCCGCGCCCGGCTATTGGCAGTGGGCAGCGCGCGGGCCTGCGAGCAGGAGATAAAGAGTTCAGGCAGAGTGTTTTTTCTCACTAACCGTGGATTTGTGTGTTTGTTCAGCTGGTGGCTCTGATAAGCCCCATTCTGCCAGATAAAAGCCAGCCGCCATGAGGGGGGGCCTGGGGAGGGTGCCACAAAGGGGCCTCCCTTCTCTTTGTCCCGAGTCCCAGGGTTGTGCCATCCTGTCACCCGGGAGCCCAGACAGGGACGCCCCGCAGCGTGGCACCCCGGCCCTGCAGGCTGCCCGAGGCCCACCGTGGAGGAAGCGGGCCCAGCAGCCCTGCCAGGAAGGCGGGCGTCCCTTCCCTCGGCCGTCCGAGACATCCCCGAGTGACATGGCGCGCAGGGCGCAGCCGGCCGCACGGCGCCGTGGCCTTGTGGGCGAGGAGCCACGCTGGCTGCCCGAGCAGAGCGCCGGCCTGGCCACTGCGCACGAGGCCGCGTGG